TTTTTTTTTTTTTTTTTTTTTTTTTTTTTTTTTTTTTGGTCTTCCTCTGCCATAGGCCTGAAAGGCCACAAGGTACGTGTTTTTGCATTCACACTCATGATCTGAAGGTTTGCAGAGAAACGTAAAAATGTAACTTGTTGCTCTCCATTTTCACTGGGGTTCCTCCTGTCAAAGTGCCCGGAGTGATGCCTCGAGAGCCCATGGAGAAGGTCCAAGGCGTTGCTCTTGGAAGCCCCATGCCAGGATTGGTGCCTGTCGGCCGACTCTTCCACAGTAAGGATGCGCGAGTCTGTCTCGCCTTCCTGTGTGTCCTGCAGGTGTGCCCCCAGGACCTTCCCTGATACTTGACTACTCCTAGCATTTGTTCATTTGACGCCTGCTTCTGGAGCTATAATTTTCACCTTAAGGTCACAATGAGCTGAAAGTTCAAGAAAGTTTGGTGGTGATCCAGAAACAAGACTGAAGGAATCTTTTCCACTTTGGCCCAAATGGTGGTACTGGAGACCACTGATGGAGACAAGACCTACGTTGGCAGCTAAGATGAATGGGACCACCCCAGAGGACCAAGACACCACAGCCCACGGAGGATATCTAGACGCAAAGAACACATGCCAGGGGTCTTCAGGATGCCAGGTTATCGTGGGAAATGAGGAGACTCCACTTACTCTCTTGTGGGATCAAGATTACTGTCTTAAAATGTGTGGTGGCTGAGGCAGGAGGATTACAAGTGACAGCCCAGCCTGGGCAATATCAGGATTTAGCCCTGTCTCAAAAGGTAAAAAATGAAATAAAAGGCTGGGGGATGTAGCTGATTGTGAAGGCTCTGAATTCACTTCCCAGTACCTCAAAAAAATATTGTCTTATCCTTGCTACTGTGGTCAGTTCTCCAGTTATAGTTCTGGGTGGAAGAGACCCACCCCCAAGGCCATGTCACCACTATGCTGCCACCTTGATTAAGCCTCACACCAGTGTGAGAACACCATGACTAAATAGTTAATCTGGTTGGGGTCACTGGAGGGGGCTCACAAATAGTACCCCTCTTTTTCTGAGAGCTGAACAACTTGATAAATAAATCAAAAGAATGGAAGACAGAAGCCAAGTGAAATCCTTATTAGTAACATTTCTTTTTGTTTTTTCTGGTGCTGGGGGTGGGGTCCAGGACGTCACACACACTGGTCAATCACTCTACCCTGAGCTGCACCCCAGCTCTAAATCTTTCTTATTAACAAAGGCCAACGAGAAAGACACTATCCAGTGTGAGAGCCCCAGAGTTAGGCAGGATCACTCCTCCAAGCACAGGCCAAGCTGAACTAGGGAGGCGTTCCCCACTGTGGGGGAGAAAAAGAACCCCCTTTTCTTACAGGCTATTGTTACCCCAGAAGGAGAGGGCAGGGGTGGGTCAAATGTGTCCAGTTTACTTCCCCGTGTCAATCACTCCCCTAGAACCTGTGGGTAAGGAGATGGGCAGGTCTAGAACTCCCTTCTTTGACCTGGGAGGAGCAGCAGGAGTAAGGCTAAGCTCCTAAGTATCAGCACAGGGATGAACAGATTGGCATACACAAGGGATTTCTTCCCTGATAGCCGATTCAGAAGAGGTGCTTCCAAGTATCTGGACAGCCAAGGCTAAGGGAACCATGCAGCCATGCACACAGACCCTCCATGCCAGCTGGGCTTAGGCATCCCTGTGGGTCAGCCACTGCCCCAGCCCTACTGGCCACATCCTTACCTACTTTGGCTTCTCATTTTTACCTACTCTGCCAACACTTCCCTCCCACAAACTGAAGTTTAAAGCTAACTGATAACCACGAACTCCATCAGAGTTGACTCTTGCTGTGGAAGACAACCCCACACTCCTTATGCTCAGCTGCGTAGGAAGCATCATCTCTCCTGCTAGATGGCTAGGTCTTTTCTTGAGTAAAGTCACCTGGGAGTAATGTATGTGGGTTCTTTTGTCTTGGCTTTTTCATATGTAGTTAGTACTGGAGAAGAAATTTCAGAATAAAACCCTTGACTGCATTTCCTAGAGGGATATTGTTGAGAACTCTCCATTGTTATTCAGTCTTTCAATATCTACACACACGATGAATTCACACACACACACACACACACACACACGCACACACACACACACACACACACACACACACACATAGTATACACACCAGTTTTAGCCCTAAAATCTTCATTCATTTTTCCTAATTAGGATACTCTTTGCTTAAGGTTTATTTAGGATTGTAAATTTTGTTATAAATTATATCAATGAATTGTGTTTCCCTTTTTGACTTGATCACAAGAACACTCAAAACAAAATTTATACCTCAGTGGCAGTTGGACAGTACAGGACACTAAGCCTACATATCTGAAACTTCTCCCTCTTTAACCGTTCTCTTTTACCACAGTCCCACCTGTAGCACATGGTCTTTGCCATCTTTCCTATTTTTATTCTCAAGACTATAACATTTGTGTTCTAGTCAACTATGTGTTCCCACAAAATGCTATGCATTCAATGAAAAGGAAAAGAGACAAATAAAATACACCCACTATTTTCTGTATTAACTTTTCTAACAATATTTATATTTTATTCTATACCACTCAATAAATGCATACTATTGGGGCTTTAAATTCTAGAACCAGAACATAACATTTACTTTGGAATAAATT